ATTTCTTTATTAATATCTTAATATATTATTATATCTTATATTAACCATTTGCACACACGAGCATTATCCGGCTTCGCTCCTACCGACCGCAGACGCAGGTTTACAAGTCACTTTTTCCTGTGTTTTTCAACCAATTTCTTGACTTTTCCCCACTCATGAACAACACATTTTCGTACACGATAAAAGCTCCTTGTGGTTTCTCGGTTTGGCCAATTTGAGCATCCATAAACAACACAAAACACAGCCATTTTGAGTTTCTGCTAGTGATTCCTACGGAGAAAAATCACTTCCTGCCCTCCAGCTGCATTTTGCATGTCATCAGTGACGTCATGTGCAAACAACCTATATTTTGAATTTGGACTGCAATACCTAGTTCAACCACTTGGTGTCAATCCTACATACAGCACCTTTACATTTTTTGTGGAAACCATGATTACTGATTTTCGTTTTTTTTATTCTAAATATACATTTTTGTAACAATGTAAAGGTCCCTACTGTTACTTTCCCAGTTGAAAGCATCCTTGCTGAATAAAAAAAATTGTAATGTGCATTTTACTGTAATGTGCATTTTAATTCTAGGAAAGGCCCACTCATGTCATGCTTTTGTCCTTTGATACCACCATTTGGTCCCATCCTCATTCACTAGTCAATGTGTGCCCTCACAAAAGTGCCATTTCAGCATAAACATTGGTATGTATTTTAATTTGCGGAAAAAAGAAATGTGACGTCACAGTCTGTCATTAAGCCCTCTATCAAAGTCATAGCCAAAACATATTGTTGTAATCGCTTTCATTAATGTTACAGCACACGGCACACACCACTGAATCCACCATCTGTCCTCTCATCACAACTCGGCCATTCAGAAATCCACTGTGATTCTCAGAACCTGTCAGCAAATCTTGCTGATTCCATCACATTTCACTTTCATCTAACTCTTAACCCTTTAAGTTCACCCTAGTCCCAGAGGACAGCTGCCCACAGAAATCTATTGTGCGTGTAACAGAATCCCAGCATGTCGTGGGGTGTGTGTGGGAAAACACAGAATCGTCATCTCCCATCTGCCTCTGTGATCAGATTATCAACATCTGATAAAAAGCCCACACTGAATCTGCTCTTTCAGAAATCTAGAAGCAGCTACACAGCTCTAAATTAACCATATTTACCAAATCTATCAGATTTCCCCTAAAAAACAGTTTTGAAAAAGTGAAAAAGTGATTTGTGGCTTAACTTTGTATCAGTTTCATGAAAATCCCTGAATGGGCAGGTCAACATAAAGAGACAAATATGAAGAGCTTTGAAAGAGAAGGGCTTTAAGGTGGGATCCAGGATTTCTAGAGCTTTTCCTGGGAGTGAGTAGAGAGATCTGGGAAGGGGAGTAGTTGCTGAGGCTCTGTCATCCCTTCTTTCCCAGAAGGCCTAGGGAGGGGTTGCTGCTGCATGAAGATTACGGATGTGTGTCAGACAGCAACAGTCAACTTCCTTTAACAGCTGGATCTACTCCACAGTTTGAAGCATCACCATTTTTGTCCAGTAATTTATTCTTATAATGCTAGGTGTACCTAGAATTGTTTGTGTTCAGAGGAATAAATTAGATTCACTGAAGGGATATTTCACTCAAAAATTTAAATTCTGTC